AACAGAGTGAAATGTCTCTCTAGCTTCCTTAGCCTTTGTTGGGCGTGCTGACGCGGATGGCGGTGGTATGACCATTGATATTGAGGAGATCTTCTATTTGGAGAAAAATATTGCCATGGTGGATAGGACGGTGTTTGATGCAGAGACCCAAAAGATTGCTGACTCTGATCAGTTGAGACGCATGAGCGCTGAGGATGAGGTATCAGATACTCCCCAATGGAATTATTTCCTTCTTCCCATTCTTCTTGAGAACTGACAAATGATTCATTCTCATTAGTTGGGATGTTCGAGGCATCTCATATTTTTCCGTTCTTAAGACCGTTCTCGATGCGCCCTCCAGCTATTACCAAGTCAAAGAAGCTTGATGTCATAATGTTAAATAACTTTTCCCGGTACGGGCCTTGCAAATTATCTACGAACCAGTCAACTAATTCCTTATCCAAGAGTAGTGGTTGGACACGAGCAACTATTTCTCTCCACCTCTGAGCATACCTCTGAAGGATTCATTGTCTTCTTGAGATAAACTTAGCAACTGCAGGCGGTCGGGAGCCAAGTCAAGATTGTAGCTGTATTGCTTCACAAAAGCACTAGCTAGGTCTAACAATGATTGAATGTTGTTGCTTTCTAGCTGCATGTACAAACTCAGTGATGCCCCACTCAGGCTGTCTTGGAAACAGTGGATCATGAGCTTGTCATTACGAACCTGTAGGTCATTCTTCTGCAAAACATTACCAAATGTTGTCTTGGGCAGATATCCCATTTGTACTTCTCAAACTTTGGTGTCTTGAACTTAGGTGGTATCACAAGGTTGGGTACCACGCACATATTTAAAGCATTCAGATCAGCAGAGTCACGACCCTTAATGGCATCAAGCTTCTTCCTAACACACAATATTTTTCCAAAATCTCAACGTATCGTAGATCCTTGGTTTTCATTACAAGAACTACCTCTTGGGAATTTGGCTCAGAGAATGCGAAACTAAGGTATTTTACCACATCAACAGAAGAGGAATGTCCATTTTGGGCAATGGTACATTTTTGTATAACCTGGTCCCCAACAGGAATCTGCACAACCTGAGCTTGAGCAAAATCGTTCATAAAAGTCCTATAAATCTTGTCATCTCTCTTTGCCAATGCTTTCATAGCTTCCATAATCTAATCCAACTGATCTTTCATCGATTCAAAATCTTCTATTGTCACAAACTGGTTCTGCTCTCCTGAGTTTATTATCCTCCACAAGCTACTTCAAATCCAATACTGGCTTCGGGAAGTTAACTGTTAGGTTACAGACAAAGGATGGATAAGGCTCAAGGTTGATAAATGCAAATTAAATTCAAATGTGACGACATGCGCATGCAATGCTAATGCAAGCCAAATGGTTTCAAGGAACTCAAAAGCAAGTTGCAAACATTTTTAAAAAACTGAAAAGTTTAAATTCATAAACCAGGATCTCTATTAACTTTTGTAAAGAAAAGAAAAATTGAATTCCTTGAAACCAAAGTGCTACTCATGAATGCATAAATTTATGGATGAATGTATGCATAAACACACGTATACACATATTCACGTATATGCTGAAAAGCAAACAAGGGCCTCGGTTTGAAGATCACGAGCATGGAGCCATGATCTACCCATCCCAAAAGGTGTGTACTAAGGGTTCTAGTATTTGCAAAATAGGGTTCTAAGAAGTTCCTAGAGTTAACAACCCATCTTTCGGATATTATCAATTTCCCTACTCGGTAGTTGATAATATGCTCAAGAGAGTCTCGTCTGAGTGTAGTGTCACGTATAAACTATTTCGGGACTAATCCCTCATAGTCATCACACTATGTCCTAATAAGGCCAAAGTGGGGTGAAAAGGTAACTAAAGGTTCTCAGTGTCACGGGCTCCTAGGTCGAAAGTAGTAATATTTTCATAAATACCCGTCCAACAAAACTACTCCCAATAGAGCCTCCACTGAGCGGTGGTTTCTCAAGTCATCTTGGTTGGGAATCAACTCCCTATAAGCCTTCTTTAATATACCATTTTCCTATCATAGGTGCACTCAATTCCCGGTTTAGAACTTATCCTCACCACTCAAAGTAACCATCCTACATACAAAAAACCCAAACACAAACATATATACATACATACATACATACATACATACATACATACATACATACATACATATATATATATATATATATATATATATATATATATATATATATATATATATATATATATATATATATATATATATATATATATATATATATATATATATATATATATATATATATATATATATATATATATATATATATATATATATATATATATATATATATATATATATATATATATATATATGTACAAATATACAGATATACAAGCAAGCAAACATATAACAAACACAAATACAAACAAGGTGTGCTTAACCCTCTTAGGGGAGTTAATCCCCAGTGAAGTCACCATTTCTGTTGCAGTGAAAATCGGATATCAAGCTATTAATTAACTTCAATCTCAAATCATGAAATTCACCACAGAGCTTTGATTTATCTAAAGGAAAGGGTAAAGATCGAATAAAACCCTAAGTGTGTTATGTAACAACAAAGCTAGAGATCTATGTCTCAGGGGTTGGTTATACCTAGGGAAGGTGTTAGCATCCTAAGTATCTGTAGTATTCTACAGGAACCTCTTGTTAGTAATTGTGTTATGCTATTGTTTGCTAAAGGAAATGTGCTACGGTAAAGACCTAGGGTATGTACACTAAGTATGCTCGCCAAGAAATCGCATCTCGTGCCTACGTATCATAACTAGGATGGAACCAGAGCATTCTTAATTCACCTAACTAGGGGTGATGAACTCTTGATAATGATCAAGGTTCCAAGGGGAAGTAAGTGTTAATAACCATAACACTTACATGGAAGCGGCGACTCCCGTCCTAAGGCTAGGATAAAAGGGAAGTAAATGTCCATGGCAGAACACTTACATAGAGTACGACAACTCTAATCCTAAGATTAAAATAAAGGGAAAGATAAACTAGTCTCGGTCACACGGCGACGAGAGATAAGGGAATTATTTGTTAATGGTTAGTGGTTAGTGGGCTTGACAAGATATCACATCTTGTGCCTTTGTAGTTCGCCTAATTACGGGTAAGGAACTCTTGACTGTGGTCAACGTTCCAAAGGGGAAGTAAGTGTTTATAACCATGAAACTTACATAGAGTATGACGACTCCAAACCTAAGGCTATGCTAAACAAGAAAAGTAAGTGTTCATCACCGTGACACTTACGTGGAGTGCTGCGACTCCAATCCTAAGGCTAGGATAAAAGGGAAAGAAGTAATCTAAGTTATCCTAAATATGACATGGCAGTCAACGGAGGGGGTCCTTTCCTTTGGAATTATTAAAGGGAAAATACTAACATAATGTTGTCATGCAAAGATTAAGAATCATAAATCCACCCTACTTCGAACTTATTCAAAAATCAAGTCGAGCTAGGGGATCCTAAGGGAACATGTGAATACACAAGCTAACAAGTGATCAAAGCATAGTTCAAAAATTAAAATGAAATAACAAGACAGACAAATCTAAAACATGGGCATAAATACTCATAAAATAGAATCAAATGAGAAGAGAAATGTTACGACATAACAGAAAGTGCATGAATTAGTGTCACACCCTAACTTTTGACCCTAAAATCCCACCTCTTTGTGCATCATCTTGCATAATATCTCTAGGCCATTGTTGAAAATTAAATTTGGCCTATGCTTTTCTCAATTCTCTCTCTGTAAGATCGTCTGTCCTTTGGTCGTGATCTTCTGAGATTTAAGTCATAGGACTTTGTGTGCATGTTTATTATGAATAACAAGCTTGTGCAGGAGCATTGATTTAAAATACTCATTCTCCAAGTCGAGTACCTCAAGACGTGACCACTGGATTCTGATGCAAAAGGCCCTACGGTTTTTTACTGGTCATTTTCCTCAAGATTTTTCAGAGGATTCCCCAAGGAAGATCAGGGTTTTCTCTCCATTGGTTTTGAGCATTTGAGAGCTGGTTGGGTTTTTGGCAAGAAGTATTACAAATTGTATCTTCATGGTTCGTGTACCGAGTTCGTAATCATCCAAAACTTTGATTATGCGGGTAACAAAAGTCAAGCAGGACTTTGTTCTTATTTATAAAGATAAACCATCATTTTCCTTTTGGTCTTGAAAGAGGGAATTTGATTTTGGTAGTTTGGATAAATATTTGAATTAAGTTTAGGCGAGAAGTTTTCAAAGTGAAGTTAATAATCCATGTTCTTCACAAAAGTTTAAATTGATTCATTATTTTTGCAAACTTCAAGTCTAAATTTAAAGATTTATATTTAAGTTACAATTTTGTTGAGATTATGCCATAAACCATTATGATAAGAATTTTTAACTCAAGTTTAACTAAGGGAATTGTTGACATAATACAAGAAGATCAGGTACACTAATTCGTGTTCTCATAAAATTCAAGGTGAAAAATGTTAAAACCCAAATTCAAATCAACATAAGAGTCAAGAAAATTCAAGATTTATTCAAGTACACCAAAATTCATATTATTCATCATTATCCAAAAGGGATTTGTTCCATTACAAGATTACCATATTATCCTACATCATCATGTTTAATACAAATTCATATGGTGGTTGTCTATTAAAAAAAAAAGAATGAACCGCTACTGGTGTTAGCGCTGAAATTGCATTTGAGGCAGAAGTTGTTATGCATTTGAGGCAGAAGTTGTTATGCATTTGAAAGAAGAAATTATCAGGTAGCTCCAATATTGAAAAGTGATAATATCCAGAATTGCATCATTGTCACCGTCTTATCAAGCCGCCACCAGCTAAGTTGTACACTCCGCATATGCGTGAAACCTGCATTTTCAAACGATACAAACACTTGAAGGTTGTCATTCAACAATAAGAAACTTAGGAAACAATTTGAGCTTTAACATGCCATGATTTATCATGTACTAAGCAAAATAGGTCCCTTCAATTTGTTGGTTCAAGATGTTCGAGCTCGTCAGAGAATACGGTGTCACTACAAGAATAAGCTTGAAGAGTTTCTAGTTGAAGAGGGAGAGCAGATACTTGCTTATGAATTTGTGTCAAGTAGAACTTTGTCTCAGCAAGGGCGAAGAGAGAAATGACGGTCTTCCATAGGTAACATGACTCACAATTCCTTTTGAAATTGCTGAGGCCATAAATTATCTCCAATCCATCCATCAAATTCTTCACCTGTAAATAACAATTGCAAAAAGATCAAATTAGTCAAAAGGAGTGATATCAAAAGTATTCTAATGGGGAAGATAAGGAAGTTGGCTGAATGAAAATTCATGGGAATTTTGTTTTGTGTTCATACTGTCATGATACTAATTGTAGTAAATAGCTATAATCATAATTAAACATTAGGATTTGTTAGAAAAAATTAAGGGCAATCAACACAATGTTCATGGCGATTATACAAAATCAATCACGACTGGCAAGAATCGAGAGTAGTCATCAAAAATCAAAACATGATTAAACAAGATAATCTGGAAATTGAACGAAACCCGTATGGGTGTGTGGCCATTGTTCGTGTGAGAGAGAACGCGTGGGAGCTGAGAGTGGGTGAGAACCATGGCCATCCGTGTGAGAAGATCTTGATGGAGAAGAGAAGGGGAAGCGGCGTGCGAGATGAGGGAGGAAGGGATTGAGGAATGGCACAGCGAGTTTCTGTTTCCGGCGATGTGCTGGCCCGATAAAGAAGTAAGTGGCGGTTGATTTTTCACACGAAAGTGAGATGGAGGCGTGCGAGAGAGTTGGGGAGAAGGTGAGGCGAGAGAGAAGATGAACCTTGTTTTTTTTTTTTTTTTTTTTTCTTATTTTTCATTTTGATACTTTGAGGAAAACATGGATGGGCCTTATGCCTGAGCCCACTTGTTCCTTTTTTTTTTCCTTCTACACCCCATGACTCCTAGTTACACCATGCTTAATTTACTTCTAGTTCATTTTACTTACTTATTTATTTATTTGATTTTTGATCTCAATAAATTTCGATTTAGGAATAATCCTCAATTTAGATCTATGCATAACTTTCTTGACTAGTTGATACTAGGTTCTGGATTAATTGATCATGAATTTCATTCCGACTATAGTTGGATATTAAATTTTGGATGAGAAATTTATAGTAACTCTAATATCAAAATTAGATACTGATCCTGATGCTTATTCCCCTTTAAGTTAATTACCTTAGTTTGTATCCTTAGGCTAGTTTTCTTTAGGATGTTCTCAACTTCAAATAACCTATAATTAGGTTCCCGTGAGAATTAGACATAATTCATCCTTAGTCGAGATATAATTCTCCTACCCCATAACGTAATCAAGTAAGATGTAGAATATTTTTCGCTTGAAAGAGGTATGTGGCATACTCGTCGATTACATATCAGAGTTAAAACCCTTCTCTCAATGTGACGCAAAGACCATCTTCTATACGTTTTTGGTGGTTAAGTTGAGTATTCTTCCTAAGATGACGACTCGTCTCTTCTCCTAGAATCAATCAACAAAATTTCTCCCCCTAGAACCTTGACCATAGTCAAGAGTTCCTCAATCCCTTTAGGGGAACTACGAATACTCTGATTCCATTCCCGTCAGGATACGTAGGCACAAGATGCAATTTCTTGGCGAGTATACTTAGAAATAAACCCCTATGTCTTTCACCGTTAGCAAAAAACAATAACACAATAAAACAAGAGATTCCTGTAGAGTACTACAGATGCTTAGGATGCTAATACCTTCCCTAAGTTTAACCGACCCCCAAACCTTCGACTCTCTAACTTTGCATTGCATGCTTTTGGGTAATTCGATCTTTTTCCCTTCCCTTGGACAAATTAAAGACCGGTGGTGAATAACGATTTGAGATTCAAGTTAATCAATAGGTTGGTATCCGATTCTCACCGTGACAATTAGATTAATGATATACACAAGATATGAACAGAAGAACAATCAGAGTAATAATCAAAATCATAAGATCAAGCAAACCGTATCTAAGTTATAAGTCACAATAATTAGAAGTCGAAAAGATTATTGAAAATATAAAATAAATGATCATAGATGGAGTCCTAAATATTTACAGTTCAAACACGAATTAAAATTAAAAAGAGATTTAAAAGATAAATAATAAATTACAATTTTTCGAAATTTTAATAACTAGACTAATAATCTAAATAATTATCATTAACTACATATTAAAACAAATCAAACAAATAAAAATATACTCCTAAAAATAAAATTATATTATTACTTCTTATCTAAAATATAATTCTAAATTAATAAAAAATGTAATCAACCAAAAACAATTAATCAAAAGTAAATCAAATTTTATGAACACGGGTGTACAAGATGTGAAACAAAACGGGCCATAAGCACATCAATTACTTCTAAAAAACAAATAACAAATAGATGGGCTCAACAGCCTAACAGAAATAAAATAGGGCATGGATCTAAAAAAACAAAGGCAAAGTTCACCACTTTATTTCTGATGATAAGACCAATAGAAATGAAGAGCAACACAACAAATAGGAGCAAAGTGGAAAAACATGACTTTGCTTTCCACCTACTACGATGATTCTGCCTCGACCACTCTAAGTTAACCAAAAGGCTAACAACTCGAAACTTCAAAAGTCCTCAACGGCGTCCACGGCTAAACCTGGTCATCTGCATGTTACCCACGTGGAGGTAACATTCAAATAGGCAGGGTGAGTAAAACGGTTCATAATAATCAATGCATGAAAATCAACATATAATATGGGTCATCTTCATATTTAACACATTCATATTCATCAATAGGCCTCAAAGGTCACAACATCATAAATTATTTCAAATGACTCATAAATGCAAATGCAACAAGACTCAATACATGTGGTACCAATCATCATAGCGTGATGGACATTGGGCCATCAACCCTCCATAGATCCCCATCAATAGGATCGATTCTACTAGAGAACCGGAGCACATCAAAACACTTCACATCCACACAATGGGATTGGAGCCAAAGTAATCGAGGTCCTGAATCGAAGTCCGGATGCACATGAATGCATGATGCACACGTCATAAATCATCCTCATAATAACATCATAGGTGCATCATCATTCATCATATTCATCATCATCAAACGCCATAGCTCATCATCATAATCATCATCATACATCATGTCATCATAGCTCATCATAATAATCATCATCATACATCATGTCATCATAGCTCATCACAATAATCATCATCATACATCATGTCATCATAGCTCATCATAATAATCATCATACATCATAGAAATTATTATATAATCATGCACAAATCACATGGCGCTCACAGTCATACTCATATTAATTCATCATATTATCATATAGTATCACATATTAATTAATAAATATACTTGCGGTAATCCTCATACTATCGCCTATTAATCATATAAACTTCATAGTCCTACTCATATTAATTCGTCAAACAAATCACAGAATCAAACATCAAAGCATTGCTGCACACGATCAACATTTGCAAAACTCTGCTACGTTCGCTGGCATGTTCGCTAGGCGAGTCTGGGGCGAGTTTCTTCGCTAGGCGAAGGATTCTTCGTTAGGAGAGTCTGGGAACAACATGGTTCGCTAGGAAAAGCATTATTCGCTAGGCGAACAACGCGATGACATCAAATCTCAGCTATGCATCAGAACCCAAAATCACTCAAAAAACTCTACAATTTACTTTCTAACTAACCCCAAAACATCCCTAAATCACCCCTAAGATGTAACAGCCCGAATTTCATTAAATAATTAATTATAGTAATTAATTGATTTAGTGGGATTTTTATTAATGTTGGAAATTAATTTTTATTAATTGGAATTAATAGAGAGTTGAGAAGGAAATTGGAAGGAAGGAAAATAAAAGAAATATATAATAGAGAAGGAAAAGAAAAGAAAGTTGGAGAGAAACATTTGGAAAGAAAGAAGAAGAGAAAGAGGGAAGAAGAAGAGAAAGAGAGGAGAAGAAGAGGAAAGTGGAAAATCATCAAGAACCAACATCAAAGCTCCGATTAATCGAGGTAAGGGTGAGAAATGTTTCTATTTGATCATTGCATGATGTTATATATGTTGGGTTGGGGTTTTGGTGTAGTTTCCATCCTTTTTCATTTAGGGCAAAAGTTGGAATAATCGGTAGAACTGTGATTTAATCGGTTGGAACTGAGTAATAATGCCGTAGAATAGTCGGGTAACATGTATTGATGTTGTTTGAGCTGGTTTTGATGTTTGGGAGTTGGTTGGTGGTGGGTTTGAGAAGGAGAAGACAGAACAAAATTCTGTTCTGCGCAGGTTCGCTGGCTCTCGCCAGGCGAGCTAAGGCGAAGCTTCGCCGGGCGAAGCCTAGCGCACGCTGGCGAATAATTATGATTAAGTCCCAGTGGACTTCGCTGGCGAGTTCGCCAGGCGAAGGTTGGTTAGCGAATGTTCGCCCAGCGAAAGTGCTGGCGAATGGTGGCGAACAAAGTCAGTAGCTATTGACTTTGGCTCGCTGGGGAGTCTCGCCACGCGAAGGCCTAGCGAGTGTTTGCTGAGAGGGTTTGCCAGGCGAAGGTCCAGCGAAGGTTCGCTGCGAGGCCTCGCCAGGCGAATATGGGTGAATTTGACAGCATCTTTTCTTTGTTGTGGTTTCTATGTGTTGATGATTTAGTTGTTTCACATAGACTAGTACCTCTACATTGTGAGTATGTATGTGATCTATTGTGATGATATGTGTTGTGGGTAGCCTACGATCGTGAATCCTAGAATTGTAATTTGAATGTTAATTGCATCAAGTATAAATACATGTGAACATAATAGGTGATTATGTGTGTATTATTTAATGAACTTATGAATGCTTGATGTGTATACAATTATGTGATGAGTATGCATGAGAACATTGTGAATATGTGTGCATAACTTGTAACTGTACGATTGGTATTGTGATGTGAATACCTTGATTGTTGTGATATATGCTGTATGTGCAATCATTGTGTAATTCTTGAAGAGATGAATTATTAAATGCATGAGATTAAGATGCGAGAACGGTCTTAAGTGCATTGTTGTGGTTGATTGCATATGCATCATTTAGTCAAGAGGCAATGTCTGTTAGTTTCGTGGAAACTAGTGGCTTGTCCCAAACCTAGAAGAGTGGGTTTGAAGGCTTAGAGGACGGGCCTTTGTTGTTATCGGTCTAGAAGAGTGGACCCGGTTTAATGTAAAAACTGAAAAATGATAACGGGTTATTGTCGCTACTGCGAAAATCGGCGCCGGCTGAACAGAAGAGTCGCCACCGTGCGTTATTTATCCCACGGGAGGGAAAGGAAACGCTCAGAGTAAACCTCGCACAATACGGGAAAGGTATGGTCGTCGCAACCAAAACCTGGGTTCGGGAGTCGGTTACGCAAGGGGAAGGTATTAGCACCCCTCACGTCCGTCGTACTCGACGGGATCCACGCTTGTTTTCGGGTATGGATTGTTATTCTATCTAAACTAAAGGTCAGGGGTGAAAAAGAAAATAAAATGAAAATAAAAATGACTCGGCAAAGTATCGCACTTTATGCCTACGTATTCCCGTCTGGAACGAGAAATCAGAG